GAGGCGCAGAGATCTTTGATTCGATGCTAGGGACCTGCACATAGATGAACTGCGAAATGTAGTGTTCGACTCAAGATCGTAAATAAACTGAGTAGGGAATATGGAGGGATATCTGTAGGTCAGTTGTTTGCTTTAATGTCCAAGAGAATAACAGTTTTACGTTATATAATATTTATCTATGAATATGTTATCGAGTTTGGTTTAAGGAACCAGGACACATAGCAATGAATGATATGGAGGTTCATATGTACTTGTTGTCATATATTTATTGGAAAATATGAAATGGCCAGGGCATATAGAACGAATGGGAATAAACTAATACGTTAATGAGAGGATGATATTAAAAATGCTTGTTATGGAAACAGGATGGACGTTTCTGAACTCGAAAATGATCAATGCGTAAAATTGTTATTTTCGAATTTGATCATCGTTTAATTTATAAAATTATGATACTACGTTTTGGAAGCTGAATTATGCTTTCGTCTTCATGTAGAAAACATCAGGTTTCTAACATATTTCCTCCTCCCCACCGTCTTTATACTTGAAGACAGAAGCATAATTTAATTTTCAAAACGTAATTTTATAATTTAGACGATGAATAAAATCAAATTTAAAAGTTTCACATGTTATAATGCACCGTTGTTCAGAAATACCCCAGACTTCAACAATAATTAACGTTATGATTTAATAAATTAACTAATTTAATGACCAACTGAGTTTATAAATGAATCTGTCATCTAATATTTGTGTGTCAGGTCAAATGTCCATTATAATGTTTAAAAACGCGAGTAGGGGTTTTTTGTACATGGTTTTGAATACAGGCGTCTGGCATCCGTGATCGTATTTCTTAGATTATGTCGCGTCATATTGTCAACAACTGATTCTCTGCAGAGACTTACCGGTAGACGCGGGTTTGTAGTAGCCATACGTCCTGTGGAGCTCCTCATTCTCGTAGACTGGTCTGTCGACCTTTAGAGTGCAGTTCTTGTCCATGACTCGACA